GAACCAATTGAGCGCCAGTCCGGTCAAGCTTGTAAGAAAGCACTTGCACATCAAAGGATCATTCTCCATGTTTAGAGCCATTTTTAATTGAATGTGGTAAATGTGATCGATCGAATCACTCATTCCATCAAACAGAATGAAAACTGGCATCGAAAACTTTCTCGGATTCGGAGCGTTCAGGATCTCGTTAGTAAACGGTGAATCAACTGTTCGTGCTGCTGAACAGAGGGCTTCATTTTCCCTTGGAAACTTTGAGAGTATCTTTTGGTCAACAGACCCCCTATCCGAACTTCTATAGTCATACGTGGCCATTGACGATCAGTAAGGAGGATCATAAGACCTTTCCTCCGTCAACTCCCTCTGTTATGACGGTGTGGCCTTATTGCGACCGAACTCCACGGCTTTTTCTCATCTAAACCTTTCACGTTATGGATCGATCTCCATGAACTCTTCTCTTCTAATCCGTTCGCGATGTGAATCCAAATGGATAGATCTTTCCCAATCTTCCATACGATAAACATTTGGCGGAATATCGTCGAGTCTGATCTTTTCGCGACGAAGATCCAGATGTACATTCCTTTCCTGTTCAACCTGGTGTGCAACATTCATTTTCACAACTCTTTCGCCTACCGGAGGCGGTCGTGGAATTATTGAAACTTCTCGACGTTCCATTCTAGCTCTCAATTCTGCATTCTCTCTTCTCAGAGCTTCAATCATGCTTATTAATTGTTCGAGCTTTGTTTACTAGTCATTCTCCAGCGGATTAGAACTCTCACCTCTTATCATCGTTCTTGATCAGAACAGAGTCATCAACCGTGAATTCCTAATCAGATCTGAACTCTGCTAATGCGAATGCACTAGATCTAGTCTCTAACTGACTAAATTTCGATCTCCTTCGGTTGGATCTAAGTATTTCCTGCCATGAACTCATCAAATTTGGCTTCACAAAACAGATCGCGATTGCACCGATCCGACTCTAATTCCCAAAGATCAACTAGAACCGAGCCTCTGCAACACAGATCATGATCTTCGCCGATCTCAATCCAATCTCCAGAGGTCAAGCTTCTTTTTCACGAATCAATCTCAATCGATTCCCACAAACGGCGTCATTGAATATACAAGAAAAATCCTCTCTCAATTTGGACAGAATAATTTTACACTTCAAAAAAATTTCCCGACCCCTTTTCCCCCTCTTTTCAGTCTACTTACAGACTTATACAAACATCCTAGAAGCTTCCTAACTAACTCTTCATACTGGGCTGATCTTTTGGGCTAATTATGGATATAGGCTCATTCTCTTTACTCTGAGATTGGGTTTCCGGACTGATCCTCCGGTCTTTGGCCCAATAAGTGAGGATTCGATTTCATAGAGTGTTCCATTCAAACCCGTTGTAGTTATTTGGGTTGTACCCGGCCCATGCTGGTTTCGGTATCCTCAGTAGCCTTCGATTGTTGAATCAGTCTAAATATTGTTCTCTCCACTTTATTGGAACTATTTAAAAGTACGAAATAATGATGCATTGTTCTAACAATGTGATGAAAATGTTGGTGACCATTGCAAATAAATATGCATGTGAAACTTCATAACTTGAAATTTAGAACGAGTTAAGTTAATCAAACTTATTATCTTAGCTTATCTTATTGTTGGGGAACATACTTTTGTGATAATTTGCATCCAGATCAGTAGCTATCCTGTATAGCATCCAGATCACTAGCTCTCAGCGTAGCATTGTTAAAATTATCTAAACAAAAATAATTTGCAAAAATAATAAATGAAGATTCATGCTTAAGCCATGAATGTGACGAAAAAAGTTTAAAACAATTAATTTCTCAAATACAACTAAAATTTAGATAGTGATTGAAAATGTCACTTGCATTATCCAGAGAAAAAAATAAAATTGGGAACGTAGTCCCTTTAAATTCTATATTAAATATTCTTTTTTATTATTATTAAAATAAAAGTGAATACAAATTCTAAATTAAATACTTTTGAATGAGATTCAAGGGAGCTTGCATGAGGAGAGATGACAATACAATTACCAAACTAATTAATTTCTCAAAATATAACTTAAATCAACCACCAAATTAATTAATTTATCAAATATAACTTAAATTTAAATAGTGAAGGAATAATTAGTACAATTATTAAAAGAGAAATGATAGGTCTTCCAACCTCAATTGCAGAATTTACTTAGTTTGGACTTCAAATCCACTCATTAAAGATTTGATCTTGACAGAGGATTCTTGGTTTTAAAGGTGTTCACTGTTGCAAAAGCATCCATTATGATTCATAATATATATATATATATACATGGAGAACCCAAGACCACGGATGAAGCTTTTCTTGAACCTGAATTTTTTGGTAAATATGATTTCAATTTTAATATTTAGAGTCGTTTTGATGATCACCATTAAAGCCCCATGAATTCAGTTAGTTTTAATGTGGATTAGTGTGTTGAATTTAATGTGGAAGGGGCTAGGACTAAGTTGGACAAAAATTGCAGAAACCTGTTTGTGTTGGGGAAGAAGACCCACCTTAACTATACTATGCCTATTTGCCGGCTGCGAGTGGGTAGAGTAAGTTGGAATAATATCTACTGGAGGTGAGAGAGACATGTTTAGAGAGAGATTTGGGTTCCAAAAAGTTGAGATGGGGTCATTTATGAAAAAAAAAAAAAGGGACAATTATACTTCCCTTGAGGTTTCGTCAACTTACACTGACCTTCCCTTTTGTTTGTCATATTACACCCACCTCCCCTAACAAGCATAAAAGATGGATGGCGTTAATGGAAAGAGTAAAGTTACTAATTTACCCTCTGTCCACTCTCTCTCTTTACAATAACATTACGGTGCTCTAAACACCTTCTCCGGCGAACTCAGTTCAGTCTGGTGAAAGCCACAATGGCGACCGCTGTGCGACTTCATACATACATATATATATATATATATATATATATATATATATAATGAGATATACGTATCCCACGCTCTCGGTTGGGTCTCTTAATGAACAAGCTCTCTCATATATAAATCACTAACCTATCGTATATACACGTGTATAGCTCTGTATTTGTATCGTTGAAGTACAGTTCAATCAAAGTTCACCGAAATCAATGGAGTTCCAATTCTATTGGATGTTTACCTGAATCAATGGAAGATGGTGCCGGCGAACACCATGTCCACGTACCATGTAATCCTGTATACAGTATATACATACATATATATATATACACATGCCATAACCATCCACACACCATCATCTTCAACCCAAACAGCGGCGGCAGCCAAACATGACCCAAACCACATGAATGATTCTAAACCGATTCTTGATCTTTAATTTCTCAAAAAAAGAAAAAGAAAAAAAGAAAACAGAAGTTGTATTTGTTCGTAGAGAGAGAAAATAGCTTTCTCAGCCATCACGAAAATGGGTCCACTCGTTGCATGAAGCGTTGCCGGAGAGGAGTGCACCAACTTGCCAAACTAAAATGGGTTTACACCAAAACTATCAGTTCGCCGTCACAATATGGAGCTTTGCCGTTTGCCGTCGTGAGCTTCGCCAATGGATTCTTCATTCCTCGCCGGTGATTTCTCCATGTCGCAGTTTGTCCTCACCGGTAAGCTCCTTTACCGATGTTCATCATTGCTCGCCCCTGTTCTTGTTTGCTCGCCGGCCTGTTCTTGCTAAATTCAGTGATTGCATCGCGGCCGGACTACCGTGGTCGGAATCACGACTATTCACTATTATAGTCGTAGCTTGCTCGGCGACACCTAGTTCCAGCGAGAGTCCAGCATCATCTTTAGCTTCGACCAACCTTCAAGACCCATCTTGACGAAGCTTCCCAGCACCATCACAAACCGCCCATTGCGAGTTTTACCTCCCAACAACCATTGTTGCCCTTATCAAAAGCTAAGCGTTCTCTCTCTGGGTGTGTATCTATATTTCTTTGTCTACAAATTTTTGGTTCCGATGTGGTTCAGTCCGAACTAGGTTTTGGTGGCACCGGAACCAAGGAAGGTCTCAAGAGACAATGATTTTGTTGTCACCGGACTTGCAGTTTGTTCGCCGGAACTGGGTTTCACACCGAGTAGTGTTCTTGCCGATTTGTTCGCTGATTGGTTCATTTAAGCTACGCTGCTGCTTGGACCATGTGTCTCAGAGGCTCACCGGAATGGTGAGCCCAAACTGAAGCTCGTGGGTTTCGTTGAAGATGATGGTCACCCAAACTGAAGCTCACAAGGGTAAAATGGGAATTTGATAAATAAAAAATTGCTGACATCATCATTTTCAGTCAGAAAATCTATGTTATCTATATACAAACCTCGGAAGGTGAGTGTAATATGACAAACAAGAGTGGAGGTCAGTGTAGGTTGACGAAACCTCAAGAGAGGTTAGTGTAATTATCCCAAAAAAAAAAAAAAACAACCCAAAGAGTTGAGATGGGGTCATTTATGAAAAAAAAAAAATTCAAAGTATCAATCTTGGGGATTCGATAAACACTTTGATCAACGGATGATAGGACAGAGAGTTTGCTTTTCGTTGCCACCCCCATTTTACTAAAAACTAATCCCCCCATTTTACTAAAAACTAATCCCCCGAGTTTGTAAAATGCGCAAACGATGCAACAGCGTCTACTGATAAAAGGACTTTCAAAATTACAGAAGTATCCATTGGTCCTTTTCCTTCCATACTTCCTTCAATGTTCTTGAGAACCAACCAGTCTCAAATATAAAGTACGAGTACGAAAAATTAGAATCTCTCTCTTCTATATCTCCCTCTGAGGTCCTCAGTAGGATATTAAAAAACAAGATCCGGTAGTCTTACAGAAAATGAGAAAAAGACTCAGTATTGAAACATGATTCTGGATAGAAACATTAAAACAGAAAAAAATTAAACACAGATTTCAAGGGAAGGCAGACTGGCAGAGAATAGTAATATGGCAATTAAGGCATCATATATAACCAGAATTTTTCTCAATAACGCCATGCTTACACCACATTCATGACTACCACAAGGCACAAGTCCAAAACTTTTGAGAACAAAACACAGCTGAAACAACTTAATTACAACTGATACTTGAGTCTATAGTAGACCGCATATTAGAAAGCTAAAATATAAAAGAAGCAATTGACATAAATGCCACAAAAGGAACAGTTTGACACCTGTTCAATCGTTGCTCAATTTTCAGAGTTTCTTCTTCATTCATGCATCAATTTTTTGAATCATCATAGAGTTTCTGCTTTGATTCTTTTAGGTAAGAAAACGTCAGTCAGAGTAGTTTCGACACCAAAGCAGCCTCCAATAGATGCAAAGCCTGAAAAACAAATCCACAAATTAATGGATCATTAGTAACTTGGAAATGTAACTACTACTGTAAAGCAAAACTAATAACCAAAGCATACTCAACACCAATTCTAATGTGATCCCTTCTGGCATTAACAGAGTGATCAACCAAGAGCTCTTGAAAACAAAATTATAGTCCATGTTAGGCAACTATTTGGTCCCAAAAAATTATGTTCTATGTAACAACAACGTAAATAAAAGTTCTCCTTGTGTTTTCACAAATATAATGAATTGTCAGTTTAAGGCAACATGATAATATAGTGGTGTAAGTCAAATGAATGTAAAATGTTAATTTACCTCCACCTCACCCACGGTCACTTCTTTCTCTGAAATGTCACTTAGACGAATATTTAATCTGTCAATAAAACATACAAGAGATATTGAAGATAAAGGTGTTATGGTCAAATCGTCTGTCACCATGAAAATGGTAGGTCCCCTAAAGAATCCATTGCCAGTTATTGCTTCCACTGGACGGGTCTGACCTCCATCGAAAGAGATATTGAAAAGGGAAGAAACAGTAGAGTAAGATGGATATGAAGCTTCCTCGATGGGGATGAGCTGCTTATGCAAAGCAAGTCCTCGAGGCAGCTTTGGATTGACCAAAATTGCCTTCATCTCCTCAGATTTTAAGAAATCCACAACATCCAAATCTTGGATGCTCTTGTATAAACTACCCAAACATACCCTTAAGGACAAACAAGGCAATTTTTCAAACATAAAATCAAGTGGATATGTGAGGAAACTGCCAATAAGATTAATAAAATCCTCTTTCGCTTCCACATACAATGCCTTGTTATTAGATTTGTTGACAATAAGCTTCAAAGTTATCTTTGTTTCGTCTGTTGCTGCGTCCCTGGCCCTTTCAGGTTGAATCGTGCTTCTTGGACACATTTTTCCTCGCAAATACAAAAACTGCTTTTGTCATTTGCTGATTCCAAGATGACCTCAGAGAATGGTGCCTTTGTTATTAATGAATAACTGATCAATTTTATAACCTGAGAGAGAGATGGTGACCATTCATTTTGTTCATAGAAAATAATAAAATAAATGTAAAACTAGTTAACTTGTTTATTACCTTCTCCATTCCTATGTTTATAGTCCTTTATTCTCTTGTGCTTCTATCCGCATCTTCAAACTTACTGAGCAGGGCTACACATGTCATAGTGGAAATGGGGTTTACTTGAATTCATCAAATATCATAAACTTTGCGGTAGGTTTCACAAACACCCCTCCTTGAGGTACAGAGGATCCTCTTTGAGGTGTAAAGGGTTGGTTATCTAGTTTATGTAAGGTATTCATGGTAAATCCACAACCGCAACGAGCATTGTAGTAAGGACCCATACATGTATAGTGTGGACCACTAGTACTGGTGAAAGTACAACCATCAATAGTGATGGTTGAAGTGATATGCTTAACACAGCATACATATATATCATTTGTGTCAACAAATTTCAGCTTTAGGTTCCTGTAGTAAATTTCAGCTGCACTTCGAGAACGAAGCAGCATGTCCTTGCACTTCACACTTTCTAGATGAACCTCATCAAGATTCTCAACACTTCGATATAAGTTGTTCAAACAACCAAAGTTTTCTTCTAGTGAGTGTTCACAGGCAAGTTTGACAATGTTTCCAATAGGCATCGCCATGAAGCTGAAGATAACATCAACAAAATCCTTATCGGACTCAACAAAAACAACTCGATTTTTATCTTTCTCCACCAACACCTTCAGGCTAATACTTTGTGAAGTGTCAGTCGACATCATATTGACAGCTATGTGGTTGACAGATATATATTGGCAAAACTGAGCTAATATCCTGCATCAATCATCATATAGCATATAAAAAGTTAGAATTTATTTATATGGTCACCAATCTGCATATTAAGTTCTATATGAGCAAGGACTAAACTTTAGCAATTGAATTTCTATGATGAATGAACTATATGTGCTATAGAAACTAATAGATTGGTGTTTAGTGGATCAAATCAGATTTGTTATTTTCTCAAATATAGAAGTTCGACATATAATAAACACAAAACATATCCTTACCTATATCAATATGAGATCCTTAATTTTCAAAGGAAGACACAAAATACCCCAAAAAATTGGGGCACTACAATACCCATCAAATATTTTTCAGAAAATATATATTTTTTATTTTTTGATGTTTGGTCATCATAAAATATTTAAAAAAAATATTAAAACCTACCTACAAAAATAGCTAATCCACCAATATTGAGCAAGTTATTTTATACGTCTTGCCGAATGGACTCGATCTCAACCTAAAACTTTGACGTACAACTTTGCCAAATATCGAAAAAGAAAAAAATTTTCCAATAAAAATATTATACGGAAAAGAGATGCAAAATGTAATATCCGATATTTTAAAGGATTTATTAATTGGGATTAATTACTTTTGTTTTATTTTTAAATGATTTATTTGATTTAATTAAAATTAATTGCTTTTATTTTATTTTTAAATGATTTGTTTTATTTAATTGAGTGCTTAGATTAATTGTCTTATTTTAATTAGATTATATTTCGTGATTATATTTGTTGAATTGATATGGTGTTTTGCTTTATTTATGTGCTTCATGTAACTAGTTATTTCAATTTAAGCATTTATTTAATTATTTGATTTATTTAAATTAATTAGATTTGAGCTTAAGGGGAGTTGGACCAAAAGATGTGGTCTTGGGCTTGAAGGAAGATTTGTTTAGTTAATTAATAAGACCTATGTTTATAAAGATATTTAAATAATTATCTTTGCATAATTATATATATATATATATATATATATATATATAATTATATGTATATAAATATGATTAATTAATAATTATTATGGAAGGAAATATATATATATATATATCTATATTTATTGATATATGTATATATGTATATGATTTAATTAGTTAAGGATTAGTGTGGAAGGAAATATACTAATATTTATTATATAATATGTGTGTATATATTTTATATTATTTGATAATTATTATTTCTTTTATTTGGTAGTCCTATTAGGACTAAGATTTGGATTTTAACGTGTATAAATTATACATATAATGCTTTAGGGTAAAAGTTTTACACGTTAGAAAATAAGAGAGGTAGAGAGAGAGAGAAGAAGAGAAGGTTAACAAGGAGAAGGCCGGATCTGAAAAAGAGGATGCCGGAATTGGAAGAGACAATCAAAGCTTAAAGCGTCGGTTTCGTTTTGAAACCTTCAGGCGAGTTGTTATCCAACTTTCCTCTTAGAACTCATAAGGATTTCACATTGAATATCAAAATTTAAAGTTAAATTTATTGATTAAATGATGGTTAGAACGGAATATTTAAAATATGAATTATTATATTTTTTTTTTGGAATTTTGGATTTTTATTATTGTAAATATGTGTGATATATTTTGTTTACATCAACCGATAGGCTGGATGTGGACCCAAGAGGGTTAATTAGTATTTCTAGAATTTCTGGAATTTTATGGGATTTTCTAGAATTATTGTATATTTTTTGATGTATTTTTAGAGTTATTTTCTTTAATTTTTGGGCAAATATATATATATATATATATATATATATATATATATATATATATAAACTATTAAACTGTTAAGAGGCTTCTGTTCGTCGGAGCATTCCAAGAGCTTTGGATTCGGTGTGGGCGTGCGTATAGGAAATTATTTAATCTTAAGAGGAATGATCTGGTGCATCACGATGCATGATAGTATGGTGCGTGTTCGAATCTAAACCATTGATTAGGTTTGGTCAACTGTGTTTTTATCTTGCGCAGCGCAGACCATGGGGAATTGGTGCACCCACAGATCTGGAGCATTGATGGAGGAGAAATAATCCAGTGCGGTCGCGCTCACAGTAGCGATTGAGCTTACCAATTATTGTGCCTGCTTTGTTACTCAAAATTTAAACGGTCATAACTTAGTCATTTTAAATCAAAATTGTGTCATTCTTGAACTCAAATTTAAGGATTTTTGGTCCTCTTTCCAATGGTATTAATTTTATTATCAGATTCCCATTCTACTAGGAGATATTTACATTTTAGTAAGACGGTGTCGAAAAATTATTTAATACGAGATGGAGTATTTATGGGAAATCATTTATGAGGATATTTAGTAGCATTTAATTTGTATAAATATAATTAAATTAATATATTAGTGATAAAATGAGGTATATATATATATATATTTATACATTCATCCATATAACTCATAAATTAAATAAACCATATACATAAATATATAAATAAATATGTATATATATATATATATATAATCATTGATATATATGTATATGTGATTTTAAATAATCAAGGATTATTAAGAAGAGTGTATACATATCTATATATATTAAATAATATATGTGTATATTATATATCATTTAAGATAATTAATATTATTATTCTTATTTGATATATCATGTTTTATAGGTAATATGGTTGATTAAATCATAATACACTGGTTATGAAATTAATTTTATACTTTTGATATGAATTGGATGTCTATGTATGATTTGGTTTATTATTAAGTTTAAAGTTGGTATATGGTTGAATTGTAAGCATGGATGAGTTTCCAAAGGCTTAAATATATAGTTTAAATATTTGTATGAATAAAATATATCCATAAGAAGTATGGATGAGTTGTGATGAGCGCTGAAAAGTGCGCATTTAAACCCCTTAAGCTTATGTATCCTAGGACCTTTATCTATCTTACTTTACCATTTTAAACTAATTTCGTGTTATTGCTCTTTTTAGGTGCTTATCCCCAAAATAAGCTAATTCAGCCAAATAAGAGCTTAAAAGAAGCTAAATGGAAGAAAGGAGCAAAGTGGAAGCAGATTGAAGCAAAGTATGGAATTCAGCAGGTTCGATCGATCATAAGTATATTTCGATCGATCGAAAGTTCATCGATCTAGACATTTCAAGATGGATCCAAGCTCTTTCGTCCTTATCCAAAGATCCCACAAAGTTCGATCGATCCAACAATTCTCAGATCGATCGAAAAGATTCCATCTTATCCTGTTGTACCACCTCACCTACCACTTTTGTCTCTTTCCCCAAAATATCTCAGATTTGTCCTTTTCCAAAAAGGCGCCGCCATGGGAGGATCGATCAAGCCAAAGTTTGATAGATCTCAGCCATGTTCGATCGATCGAATTTCCTCAAGCCCGAAAAAAAACAAAATCCAGCTTATTAAAGGTTGGCTCATGGTACAATCATTGGAGGAATATTTATGTGCGAGCCCAGACTATTAGGTGTGACCTTTTAACCTACCTATATAAGGAATATGAGCCATTCTTGATAGCATACTTAACATAACTTACATATTGTATAACATATTCTTGGAGAGGAGGCTAGAGACATTCTTGAGAGGTTTTCCATCTACTTCAAGAAGAGGAGCATTTCTACCATGGAGATAGCTCTTGAGGGTTGGAGGACACCATTCATAAGTGGCTAGACATTTTCTTGGGGCTAGAGTTAGCCCTAAGCATACTTTCTTTATCTTGATTCATATATTTTTTAGGAGATTTGTGTTGTAATACATGTTTTAACATCTTTATATACATAGATTTTGTTTATTTAATAATTTGCGTGGTTTAATTCTTCCAAGTGACCATATGTTTAGAATAGATGTTCATATGTTTATCTCTATTTCTTGTGTTGTTGATGCATGTCTATGTGTATTAATGTTATAGATCTAGAGTAAAGACATAGTGCTTAATAGAATGCTCTTATGATTTATTTGATGGTTCATACTCATTACTTGATGGATTGTGCCTTTCTCTTAGTTTAATTACTTTAATTTTCATGTCATTAGCTTAGATGTAGTGTAGTTACTTTAGTTGTTAAATGGAAGGACAATCCATATTTGTTATTTGTTGTTTGATGTTACATACTTATGAATGCAAGTAGTATATTTCTCTAATTTTGTGATGTGTTTGGATTGTGAGCTTAAAGAATGATTAATGACTTACTTTGATATATTGTGCTATTCATTGTATTGTCTAGAGAATATACACTTAATTGGTCATCCATACTTGTTAAAACAACCACACACACTCACTCTTGTTGCAACATATGCCTTCCCCTCATTAATTGTGAATTGAATATAGAGAAAAGTGATGCTTAGTGGTAATTTCTAAGTTCCAAGGCCTCTCTCTCTTGTTTTCTCTGTCCTTCAATTACTTGCTTGACATTGATCTTGTTTAGTTTTAATTGTAATTTAATCAACCAAACAACCTACCTTTGATCACTCGACTTACTAACTCTAAGCCTTGTTTCCACTACTAGTGCACCCTAAATCCCTTGCGACGATCCCTACTCACCCTAACTATATTTTTAGTTAGAGGTAGTAATGGCATTTATAAATTTAAAACTTAGCCACATTGCACATTCACTACCTTTTAAACATCTTTTAAGCGTTGGTGCGACGGCCACACCAAGTTGCTAGCTTAAATATATAAATAAATATACTTGTAGAGGTATGGTGAAATTGTTAATGTATAAATAAATATACTTCAGGAGGCATGGTTGAATTGCCAATGCATAATTAAATTGTTATGTATTAGATGATTAAAATTTCATTTATGGTTATTGTATGTATAGGTTGAACTAAGATTATATATTCTTAAATTAGAATAATCTAGTACTTATAGGTTAGTGTATTATTTTATATATATTAATAAAATAATATTGGTGGAGACATGGATGATTTGTCAATGCCTATATGTTGGCTGTATAATTTAAATATTTAAAATTATTATTAGGTATTGGATTAAATGCAATATTTCTTTAATTATGAAAATATATATATATATATATATATATATATATATATAAAATTGTCTAGGATGGGATTGAGGTTAAAGAACTTTTCTTTAAAAGAAATGGTCTAGGTATGATTATTATTTAATCATTGATAATTATTTTTGAATTAATGAATCTAATAATAGATGTGACTGTTATATTTATATATAATTATTTATATATATATGTGTCATTGTATATTAAAGATAAAAACTTTAATATGATTGTTTTGGTCAGAGATGATTTCTTTATTCGTTTACAGAGGCCTGGTAGAGAGAACTTGCTCATGGGTTTGACCCACTTATTTTTTATCTTTCAGATTATTAGAGGATCAAGTCTCAAGATTGAGGATCCACAGCTGGAGGACTTATCTATTCTTTTGGTTTATTCCAAAGTAAGATGATAGACTTATTTTATTTAATACTGATTGGATTATTGGATAATGTTTTTAGGGGTCCTTGCATTACGGGATTTTCGAGTTGTAATTTTGGACAAGTATTAATAAAATTATTATTTATTAGTTTCTTTAGTGAGTTGTTTATTTTTTTTAATTCTTTTTGTAATCTGTGCTTATTTGAAATACTTTAACTGTTTTGATATCCCTTAATTTTATGCACGGATTTGATCACCCGTGTTCCGAAATGAGGGGTTTCACACAAAATTATCTATTAAATCGCCGGCCAATATTTTACTACACTTTTCTAGTGGTATACTCTTTACTGTATATGCATATACATGTAAATAAACATCAGCCTACCCTTTCAACATATAAACCTTACTACACTACCTCAATCAAAATATATAATACACGTAATGTGGTGAACAAATTAATTTTAACACTCAAGAATGGAAGAGCTATACGGTACCTGAACTGGCAAAGCAAGACCATAAACAGCTTCAAATATCTGATCACTAATTTGTGGGGTGTTGATACTTAGATAAGAAGTGAACTTTGGATGATTAATGATTTATAAATGGGCTTTAAAAGGGAAAGCATTTGCAGAAAGTAAAAGTAGCAGAAGATGATTGGGTGCTGGAAGGTGAGTGGAAAGTAATTGGTTGCTTTTCCTTTACTCTCACTCGATGCATACGAGAAGGAAAATAAAGAAAACATAATAAGGAGCATTAACTAATCTTTTGTGGTTAATTAATTAAAAAATAATACTCCCTAATGGGTAATTTTATTTTCGACGAATACTTTAACTTGCCATTAAGGTCTCTATTATTAAAGTATGTGATGGATGCTTATTAGTACAACCAAAAGTTGGAAGCGTTGAAAAGAAGAGTGAGCCAAAAAGTTTAAAAAGCAAGACATGAGGTCTTTTTTTAAAATAAAAAATAAAAATAAAAATTTAAGCAACTGATATAAATAGTAGAAAAGCAAGACATGAGTTGTTTTCAAGTTTCAACTTAGACTCAAGGACAACATTTTTCTAAAAAGAAAATTAGATACAAAATATTAGAAAACAATCTTCTAATTTATTGGAAATCAAACCATTAGCTAATTTTTTATTTGTTGTGGTGAGTGTTAATCTCTTGAAAAATACACAATATTTACGGATTAGTGTAAATAAAATATATAAATAAATAAATAAATAAAAACGTGGGGGAGTCTTACCGAATTTGAAAATATAATTAGGAAATGAAGAAAATATGAACTATTTTTCATTTTTTGTACCATTCACTATTTGTTGAAAGAGCTATAATAATAATAATAATAATGTTTGAAAGCAAACCCATCTTGAGGGGTTTACACACATTTGATGTCCTGCGTTTTTCAATTGATAATCTTTTACCATAAAATGTGACAGGTAAGAAGAATGAGAGGGACAATAACTTGTCTATTTGCAATTCCAATGTACTTTGCAAAATACTTTTCAAAGTGAAAAAGTAAATGAAATAAGCTGAATTCTGTTCTCTATTTTTAATTTTATGAAAACAGAAAATTATTTAAAAAATTACAAATCAAATAACCGAAACATTCAGTAACATCTGACTCTTAACAATCTCATATGTAATTTACCGAAATCATATTTAATTGTCATCAATCTATGTATTACAACTACAATTTTGAGAATTTGACTTTCCTCTCCACTCTGATTTTGTTTTAGACTAATTCCTTTACTTGCCGGCTGTTGAGGTCTCTATTATTAAAGTATGCGATGGACGCTTATTAGTACAAACGAAAGTGAAAGTGTTCAAAAGAAAAGAAGTGAACTTTGGATGATTTATAAACGGGTTATGGGCTTTAAAACGGAAAGCATTTGCATAAAGTAAAAGTGGTAGAAGATGATTGGGTGCAGGAAGGTGAGTGGAAAGTAATTGGTCACTTTTCCTCTGTCACTCTCACTCGATGCATACGAGAAGGAAAATAAAGAAAACATAATAAGGAGTATTAATTAATGACATAATAAGGAGTATTAATTAATCTTTTGTGGTCAATTATTGAAAAAAAAAAAAAAAAAATACTCCGTAATGGGTAATGTGTAAAAAATATGCCGCAAAATACAAAATGTGATTAATGTTCAAAAAAAATCCTATATTTTTTAAATTAAAAAAAAAAAGAAAAATTCTTCTATTTGGAGACTAAAATCCTTAAAATGCTCTTAAAAAAACAAAAAACACAAAAACAAAACAAAACAAAACAAAAACAAAAACAAACAAACAAAAAAATTAAAAAATAAGGGCATTTTTTTAAAAAAAATTATAAAACCCAATATTAATTAGTAGTTTCAAGAGAAAATTAAAGAATTCGGAGCAGTAGAATTTTGCTACCAAAGGGCTTTTGATTGCTGAACTAGTCAAGGCCCATCTCGTGAGAGGAAAATATGGTTTAGGTCCTTTAGGAAAACAAACGCAAACCGAAAACAAAAAATTGCAAGCAAAAAAAATTACCATGTAGCCACAATTTCATCTAATGGCATTACATAAGAACTATATAAGGCGATCGTTTGGATCACATTGTCCTCAAAACTAGAATAACAAAAAATTTATAGACTGGATCAAGAATGAAAGAGATGGATGATGGTACGTACCTGAACTGAGCAAGCAACACATACATACACAGCCGCAAATGTCTGAATATTAATTTGTGGGTTGTTGATTACGCGGTCAGGAGCAAGTGAAGAATAAATGATTTATAAATGGGTTTCAAAAGGAAAAGCAGTTACATAAAGTAGAAGTAGCGGAAGATGGTGGGGGTGTTGGGTACGTGTTAGAAGGAGAGTGGCAACAAAAAAGTTGGATAACTTATTTTTTATTTTTATTTATTTTTTCGTGTTGTGAAGAAATTTACACATTCCTTTCCTCATTTCGAGAGACAAACTTAACGTTTGATTAGTTGGTTTTATTATTCTTTTAAAAATGAAAGAAAAGAAAATATAGACCAATATTTTTAATAAAATTTTATTAATACTAAATTTGTTCTTAGTTTTATAAAAAGAAAAATTTATGAAAAAAAATATATATATTGTTGCCCAAGAATTGACTCTAGAGGGGAGATAAATAGAGTCAATGGTCAATTTTCGTAATTTATAAATATGATTACTAACTAGTCTCTTAAAATAATTATGCAATAACCAAATGAACTTGATAATCAATTCAAAGCATAAAAGTAAAAGAGATAGGGAAGAAAAATTGCAAACAATGACTCGGCGATTTTAGCGAGGTTCGGAAACTCCTACTCCTCTGCTCAAGACCCCTCTTGAGACTTCCCAATCCAATATGGCTTCTCCTTACGGGTGGAGAGCAAACCTTTACATGAACCAACTCCTTGTTTCGCCTTACTAAGAAAACAATCTTCCCTTAGTCTTCCTTTGGGTCACACCAACCCGGTGGGTCAAACCAATCCCTTACAATTGATAGTAATATGAACAATGAAGTACAAGAAATATCTATCAAAGATTGATGTACAAATTTAGCTCTCAACTAGAGTATATATGAATATCAATGAAACTCAAACTCTATAAATAAAATGAATGAGAGAAGATGAAATATGAGAAGAATATAAGATCTTATGAATTCAATAGAATCTTTCAAGTGTATAATAGAGCAAAAACTCTATGAAGATTAAAATAAGAGCAAAAACCCTTTTAATATTTGCTAGAATCTCTCAAGATAGAATAAGAGTGAATGAGAGAGATGAAGAGAAGATTTGAGAACAAAAGCTCTCTTTAATGCAATATGAAGTCTTTCAAATGATGTCTATTAATTATTCAAACTTTCCCCACTCTATTTATAGAGTTTGCAAGCTCAATATAGCTGTTAGGAGTTGAATGCACGAGGGTCGAGAAGAAAAGAGCCGTTGTAGTTTGAAATCTGCAGAGCTGCGACCAAACCGGTTGACATGTGCCATAAACCGGTTGATGTATGCTACAAACCGGTTAATGTATGCTACAAACCGGTCGACGTATGCTACAAACCGGTCGACGTATATGAGATTCAACTTGGATTTTTGCCACTGCCTAGATACCGGTCGACGTGTGTATCAAACCAGTCGACGTATATGAGCTTTAACTTGGATTTTTGCCACTGCCTAGATATTGGTCGACGTGTGTATCAAACCAGTCGACGTATGCATCAAACCAGTTGACGTAAATGATATGTTCTTGAAATTTCAGTACTGCCTAGATACCGGTCAATATGAAGCTAGAACCGGTCGACGTAAAACCTGGTGCATTGAAAGTTTTGACAGATAACAGCTTATGCATAGGACTTTCAGTACAGGACATCTGCACACAACTTATTTTCATTGAAAACATTTAAGTAAATGTTATATGTCCATTTACTTTAAGTTTACAATGTAAATAAAAAAGTACCCTTCATTTGGATTCAATAAAAAAATAGTAAAAAATTGAAATCCAATTAAATCAAAATGTAGAAATTCAGTTTTAGTACAAATTTGGATTTCCGACAGTTTTAGTAAAAATGAATCCTTATGTAGACCAATGTAGACTTGGTCAAAAATTCTGATAAAATCAGTTTAGGCTAGTTAAAGTATAAAGAGTTATTATTAGGAAAAATTATTTTGAAATAATCATTATTTCAAAAATCCATTTTTCACACTTAGCCAGAAACACAGTTTTTCATGACGCGCATTCTGGGGTCCTAATGTCCGTTACCAACTCATGGTAATAAAAGCTTCTCATGCCTTAATTGTTGAACAAGAATGTTATGATTGATGTGCATGGTCTTAGCATTTCTAGCACAAGTGATGAGTTCTTTCGAAACTTATGCAAGCTTGAACTAACTTACTCTTTAGCAAAGACTCCATATGTCAATTGTATATGAATGAAGTGTATAGTCAATTGCTAATGGATATAGGAGCATACGAATGATGATATGATATGCATGGTCCTATAGAGATGAGCTTCAAATGGATTCATAAATACTTTGACATTAAATCCTAAATACTCACCATCCTATCTACCATTTTCTTCACGCTTTATCCATGATCGTGTAGGCTTTCAAGTAGACTTGCTTTCTTTCTTTCTTTGAGTTGCTTTCTTACTCGTTGTAGTCCAAGCTATCTTTGGATGGACTTTACATTCGGTTCCTTGCCACTTCAAGTCTTCTGTGTATCCATTTCTTTCATTGATGTGATCTTGAATAATGGAATACTTGGAATGATCTTTATAGCTTCATTGAGGTCATTCTTTGAATGTGAATAATCTATATAACACTTAATGTAAACATTAGTCCTTAAGCACCATTAATGGTTTGTTATCATCAAAATAACTAGATTGTCCTTGAATGAAATCCTTAAGGTCAACAATCTCCCCCTTTTTGATGATGACAAAACATTGATATGTTCATAAGCAAATGGAGTAGCATTTGAAAAATGCTCCCCCTATCAAAGTGAATTCATTGAACATAATGTTATAAAACAACATGCTTGATATATCATAAATCATTTTATACATAAACATGCATTTAAGATCATTTTACATATCACATATCTCTCCCTTTTTGGCATCTCAAAAAGGTGGGAGGCCTAAACAACTTCATTAAGTATTTAGCATTTAGTATGGTGAAACAATGAAAGCATGAGTTTAATACATCATTAAGGTTCATGGCATATACAAAAGTATATACAAAACATAAACCCAAGATGAAATATATACTCAATTTAGCAAAAGTATACAAAAGTATACATAATAGTTTGTAACAAAAAAATGAAGCAAGGATTAGAGTAAGCCAAAAGGTAAAAACCTTTGTAGAGGCAAATCTAAGAAGTTAAGTGTACTTCAATCCTAATATATTTTTCCCATTTGATGTATTCAATAAAGAGGAAAATTTTTTCAAAGTTATGAAAGCTCATAAGAATGGAATATAATGACTAAAAAGTCATTTTAAGGCATATTTTGACAATATACAAGATAAGTCAATTAAGCTAAGCAAATCATGCGATATTCTTTTACAAGAGATTACTAATAATCTCCCCATATCAATATGCTTCCATTTACATCATATATTATTCAATAATTATGCAACTAATTGAACAATGAAGCAATGATAGGTAAAGTATGCTTAAGATATATCATGAAACAAGTCATACTTAAAAACCCTTAATTCATTAATGGAAATGATAAGATGTATTATTTGAAGATCATGGGTTTCCCAAAAGTATATAAGTCAATAAAGAGATGTAATTATAACACATAGGAGCAAGTATGGCTAAAATCATCAAAAATAAGGTCTTGATACCAAAATAACTTCTTTAAGAGATGTGGTGAGAGATTGGCGACATGAATTTTCATGTGGATGAGCTAACTATCTCTTCTAGATGCATTCTTTAAGAAGTGATGTAAAAATATTGCATGAAGTTCTAAAGTACTAAAAATAGATATATCAAAATAGTATAGCACTTGTGATATCACATTAGTCATCTAAGCTAAAACATAGTATCATT